AAGCTGCTCTGACAACTGATGCTTAAAGTTAGTGAGGGAGATGTGTCTCCAGCTTCAGAGATTTTTGCAGTTAGTTTCAGTCATTGGCAGCAGAGAACTGGAAGGAATGGCGGCCAAAGGAGGTGTTGGCTTTGGGATGACCAGTGAGATATACCTGCTGGAACGCATACTATAGGTGGGTGTTGCTATGGTGACCAATGATCTAAGATAAGGCGGGGATTTGCCTAGAAGTGATTTATAGATGACCTGGAGCCAGTGGGTTTGGCGACGAATATGTAGTGAGGGCCAGCCAACGAGCGTACAGGTCACAATGGTGGGTAGTATATGGGGCTTTGGTGACAAAACGGATGGCACTGTGATAGACTACATCCAATTTGCTAAGTAGATTGTTGGAAGCTTTTTTGTAAATGACATCGCCGAAGTCAAGGATCGGTAGGATAGTCAGTTTTACGAGGGCATGTTTAGCAGCATGAGTGAAGGAGGCTTTGTTGCGAAATAGGAAGCCAATTCTAGATTTAACTTTGGATTGGAGATGCTTAATGTGAGTCTGGAAGGAGAGTTTACAGTCTAACCAGACACCTAGGTATTTGTAGTTGTCCACATATTCTAAGTCTGACCCGCCGAGAGTAGTGATTCTAGTCGGGTGGGCGGGTGCAAGCAGCATTCGTTTGAAGAGCATGCATTTAGTTTTACTAGCGTTTAAGAGCAGTTGGAGGCCACGGAAGGAGTGTTGTATGGCATTGAAGCTCGTTTGGAGGTTTGTTAACACAGTGTCCAATGAAGGGCCAGATGTATACAAAATGGTGTCGTCTGCGTAGAGATGGATCTGAGAGCCACCAGCAGCAAGAGCGACATCATTGATATACACAGAGAATAGAGTCGGCCCGAGAATTGAACCCTGTGTCACCCCCATAGAGACTGCCAGAGGTCCAGACAACAGGCCCTCCAATTTGACACATTGAACTCTATCTGAGATGTAGTTGGTGAACCAGGCGAGGCAGTCATTTGGCCAGGTCAATGAAGACGGCTGCACAGTACTGTCTTTTATCGATCGCGGTTATTATATAATTTAGGACCTGAGGTGCACCCATGACCAGCTCGGAAACCAGATTGCATAGCGGAGAAGGTACGGTGGGATTTGAAATGGTTGGTGATCTGTTTGTTAACTTGGCTTTCAAATACTTTCGAAAGGCAGGGCAGGATGGATATAGGTCTGTAACAGTTTGGATCTAGAGTGTCACCCCATTTGAAGAGGGGGATGACCGCGGCAGCTTTCCAATATCTGGGGATCTCAGACGATACGAAAGAGAGGTTGAACAGGCTAGTAATAGGGGTAGCGACAATTTCGGCAGCAAAATTTAGAAAGAAAGGGTCCAGATTGTCTAGCCCAGCTGATTTGTAGGGGTCCAGATTTAGCAGCTCTTTCAGGACATCAGCTATCTGAATTTGGGCGAAGGAGAAGGGGGGGGGGGGGGGGGGGGGGGGGGAAGTTGCAGCGGAGAATGCAGAGCTGGTGGCCGGGGTAGGGGTAGCCAGGTGGAAAGCATGGCCAGCCGTAGCAAAATGCTTATTGAAATTCTCGATTATCGTAGATTTATCGCTGGTGACAGTGTTTCCTAGCCTCAGTGAAGTGGGTAGCTCTTCTTCTCCATGGACTTTACAGTGTCCCAAAACGTTTTGGAGTTAGTGCTACAGGATGCAAATTTCTGTTTGAAAAAGCTAGCCTTTTCTTTCCTAACTGCTTGTGTATATTGGTTCCTGACTTCCCTGAAAAGTTGCATATCGCGGGGGCTGTTCGATGCTAATGCAGTACACCACAGGATGTTTTTGTGCTGGTAAAGGGCAGTCAAGTCTGGGGTAAACGAGGGGCTATATCTGTTTTTAGTTCTAAATTTTTTGAATGGGGCATGCTTATTTAAGATGGAGAGGAAAGCACTTTTGAAGAACATCCAGGCATCCTCTACTGACGGAATGAGGTCAATATCCATCCAGGATACCCGGGCCAGGTCAATTAGAAAGGCCTGCTCGCTGAAGTGTTTTAGGGAGCGTTTGACAGTGATGAGGGGTGGTCGTTTGACCGCAGACCCATTACGGACACAGGCAATGAGGCAGTGATCACTGAGGGATGTACCTGGTAGGTTCCTTGATGATTTGTGTGAGATTGAGGGCATCTAGTTTAGATTGTAGGACGGCCCGGTGTTAAGCATATCCCAGTTTAGGTCACCAAGCAGTACAAACTCTGAGGATAGATCTTAGCTACTGTTGTATCAATATGTTTTGACCATGACAGTTTACAATCCAGGGTTACTCCAAGCAGTTTAGTCACCTCAACTTGCTCAATTTCCACATTATTCATTTCGAGATGTAGTTGAGGTTTAGGGTTTAGTGAATGATTTGTCCCAAATACAATGCTTTTAGTTTTGGAAATATTTAGGACTAACGTATTCCTTGCCACCCATTCCAAAACTAACTGCAGCTCTTTGTTATGTTTTGCAGACATTTCCGTTGCTGTAGTAGCTGACGTGTATAGTGTTGAGTTATCCACATACAAAGACACACTGGCTTTACTCAAGTAAAGGGGGCTTTACTATTCTTGGGTAGCGGAATGACTTTAGCTTCCCTCCAGGCCTGAGGGCACACACTTTCTAGTAGGCTTAAATTCGAAGATGTGGCAAATAGGAGTGGCAATATCGTCCGCTATTATCCTCAGTAATTTTCCATCCAGATTGTCAGACCCCGGTAGCTTGTTATTGTTGATAGAGAACAATACTTTTTTCACCTCTTCCAAACTGACTTTACGGAATTCAAAAGTACAATTCTTGTCTTTCATAATTTGGTCAGATGTACTTGGATGTGTAGTGTCAGCATTTGTTGCAGTCATACATAAATTTGCTTATCTTGCCAATGAAGAAATCATTAAAGTAGTTGGCAATATCAGTGGGTTTTGTGATGAATGAGCCATCTGATTCAATGAATGATGGAGCCGAGTTTGCCTTTTTCACCAAAATGTCATTTAAGGTGCTCCAAAGCTTTTTACTATCATTCTTTATATCATTTATTTTTGTTTCATAGCATAGTTTATTTAGTTTTTATTTAGTTTAGTCACATGATTTCTTAATTTGCAGTACGTTTGCCAATCAGTTGTGCAGCCAGACTTATTTGCCATACCTTTTTGCCTCATCCCTCTCAACCATACCATTTTTCAATTCCTCATCAATCCAAGAGGATTTAACAGTTTTTACAGTCATTTTCTTAATGGGTGCGTGCTTATTAGTAACTGGAATAAGCAATTTCATAAATGTGTCAAGTGCAGCATCTGGTTGCTCCTCATTACACACCACAGACCAGCAAATATTCTTTACATCATCAACATATGAATCACTACAAAACGTATTGTATGACCTCTTATACACTATATCAGGCCCAGCCTTTGGAACTTAGGTTTTCCTAGAAATGGCTACTATTTTGTGATCACTAAATTCCTATGGATTTGAATAGTGCTTTATAGCAAATTTCTGCAGCATTAGTAAAGATGTGATCAATACATGTTGATGATTTAATTACTGTGCTGTTTGTAAATACCCTGGTAGGTTGACTGACAACCTGAACCAGGTTGCAGGCACTGGTGAAGTTTTTTCTTGAGTGGGCAGCTTGATGAGAGCCAGTCAATATTTAAATCACACAGAAAAAACGTACTTCTCTGTTGATATCACATACATTATCAAGCATTTCACACATATTATCCAGATACTGACTGTTAGCACTTGGTGGTCTATAGCAGCTTCCCACAAGAATGGGCTTTAGGTGAGGCAGATGAACCTGGAGCCATATTACTTCAACAGTATTTAACATGAGATCGTCTCTAAGCTTTACAGGAATGTGGTTCTGAATATAGACCGCAACACCGCCCCCGTTGGCATTTCTGTCTTTTCGGTAGATGTTATAACCATGTACTGCTACCATTGTATCATCAAAGGTATTATCTAAGTGAGTTTCAGAGATATAATATGAATGTCATCTGTTACAAGCAAGTTATTGACTTCATGGACCTTGTTTCTCAGGCTGCATATGTTAAAATGGACTATTTTGTAGCACTTTTCTGGGTTGCTTGTTTGTTTTTAATGCTTTACTGGGAAGCTTATCAGAAGTAGACTTGCTCATGTTATTTATATTGGAGCTGATAGTGCAGGGTGAGCTGCGCACAATGGTATTCCTACTAGGGCACACCGCCTCAGTGCTAACAGTGTAACTCTGGTTCATAAGCTCATGATTACTGCATACAATAGCTGTAGGATCAACAAAGGTATTCATGGAAATTAGGGGGACATAAATTAAGTTACTTACATTGTGTCTGCCAACGCCCCTAGTATAATGTACATTTGATGCAGCATTATGACGACTCATTGTCACAATGCTAGTGATTAACTGAGCTGGTCTTGGGTCATTGATAAGTCATTGTTTCAACGCAGCCTTGAAATGCGTGGACAGGAGCCAAGATGATTTGGATGGACTCTGTCATTCCTGTAGAGTATCTTCTGTTTCCAGAAGATGTCAAAGTTATCTGTAAAAGTGATTCCAGCAGAGCTACAGTAATCTTTTAGCCAGATGTGAAATGCCAGTAGCCTGCTGAATCTTTCACACCCGTGGCCCAACGATGGTACTGGACCTGAAATGATTGGCCGTTTTTTGGAGTCTTTTAATGCTAAAATTAGTTATTTAAAATCAATTTTCAGATGTTCCGAGCTAGCCCTCCTGATGTCGTTTACCCCCACATGGACTATTACAGTGTCAGCTCCCGGTATCTGTCGTAGAACAGTCGGAAGCAGTCTTGTGATGTCCTGTACTCGTGCTCCTGGGTAACACAGGGTTTTTGCATTGGGAACCGAGATGTTTCACACCATAGAGTTGCCGATGATGACAGCTTGCCGGTCTCTCAGGCAGCCTCACGGTCTGATGAGGGTGGGAGCTCTGAGGATCTGAACCTGAGGTAGAAGCCACCCGGAGAGGGAGACAGAACAGAGGACGAAGACGCAGGTACCTCCGTATCCGATCCAGGGCGGCAAAGCCGTGTCAGGTCCGGGCTTAACAACTCCAATGAGACCCACGTTGCCAGAGGACGCTTTCTTCGATTTCCACGGCGAGTGACGTATCTCCATGGCTGGTTGTTTGAGTCGAGAACAGCTCCGTTCTCCAGAAAAGGGGGGATGGAACCCTGCTGAGCACCGGCCAGTCAGCTGTGGAGAGCCGACACGGCGGTGACACTTCCACCAGACCAGAGCGGCGTCTGGCTACTGGGGTGGAAGAAAAATAAAAAGTAGGCGGGCGTGGATTCCCCAGTAGCTTGTGTAGGTTTGCTACTTGCTTGCTAAGAGTAGCCACTTCGCCCCTGTAGTCCTCCGCAAGCAAGCAGTTGCTACATTGAAAGTCAGCTCGGTCCACATTGTCCCGGAACAAAGCGAAATAAACATAGCTCCTGCAGCGCTGGAAACGTTCAATAGCGACCTCCATTTGAGACTGCCGAGCCAGCTAGGCTAGCTGGGCTTCCATGTCTCTCCCCCTATGAGGACTCTGGCAGGATCCCGGGACAGACAGCAGCGCTCACAGCAACTATGCCCAACAGAGCCGCAGTATCCAAAATAAAATAAAAGTATAGAAAAACACTGTCAGCTTTACAAAAACAATAAACCGTGGTCTCTCGTTCAGCTTTCAGCGTTCAACAACAAACAACATTCGTCTCGCTGTTGATGGTTTGAGAACAACACTTATCACCCTCCATTAACTAACTAGAGATATATATACTGAACAAAAATATAAACGCAAAATGTTAAGTGTTGGTCCCATGTTTCATGAACTGAAATGAAAGATTCCAGAAATGTTCCATATGGACAAAAAGCGTATTTCTCTCAAATTATGTGCCCATTTTTTTTACATCCCTGTTAGTGAGCATTTCTCATTTGCCAAGATAATCCAACCACCTGACAGGTGTGGCATATCAAGAAACTGATTAAACAGCATGATCATTGCAGAGGTGCACCTTGTGCTGGGGACAATAAAAGGCCACTCTAAAATGTGCAGTTTTGTCACAACACAATGCCACAGATGTCTCAAGTTTTGAGGGAGCGTGCAATTGACATGCTGACTGCAGGAATGTCCAACAGAGCTGTTGCCAGATAATTTTATGTTAATTTCTCTACCATAAGCCGCCTACAACGTGGTTTTAGAGAATTTGGCAGTATGTCCAACCGGTTTCATAACCGCAGACCACGTGTAACCACGCCAGCCCAGGACCTCCACATCCGGCTTCTTCACTTGCGGGATGGTCTGGGGGGGGGGGGTATAATAAAGCCCTTTTGTGGGGAAAAACTCATTCTGATTGGTTGGGCCTGGCTCCCCAATGGGTGGACCTGGCTCCCAAGTAGGTGAGGTTATGCCCTCCCAGGCCCACCCATGGCTGTGCCCCTGCCCAGTCATGTGAAATCCATAGATTAGGGCCTAAATTCTTTATTTCAATTGACTGATTTCCTTCTATGGACTGTAACTTGGTAAAATCTTTGAAATTGTTGCATGTTGCATTTATATTTTTGTTCAGTATAGGTAGGTATTATTATATCTGAACCATGTTGGGGACTGAGCCCTAAGGTGTAAACACTTACAGGAATAGTTAAGTGAGTGTGTTAAGTGTGTATCCTTTCTCTGTAGTTCCATATATCATCCCTCTTGCATACTCTATATGAAAACAGATGGAGGGACCCTGTGCACCATTTTCCTGATGCCGTCCTACAGTGCATCATATGTTGGGACAGGATACTTCAGGAGCCGATGAGGAGCTCTCAGGTTACTGACTAGAGGAGAGCAATAGGCCTGGGGTACACCTGGTGTTGTCTGTACAGTCTGCCTCCAGAGACAGTAGAGACAGGATGACGCCACCGACAGATGTATTTTGTTCTATGGTGCCTGACCAGCTGTAACTATCACAGCTATCCAAACACTCTGCATGAGCCAGCCCACGTATGGCGTTGAGTGACATGGGCTCTCCATGTCTGGCTATGTGTAGTGCTGATAGGTCTGTGTTGTTGCCCAGATAACCAGAGGTATGAGGACATAGGCAGGAGGAGGCCAGTGGAGCATAACTGACTGCTTCTGGCTCAGGTCTCCTCTCCCCCTGCCCCTACCCTCTCCTCCCCCTTGCCCTCCGTCTCCTCTCCCCCTGGTCCTCCCCTCTCCTCCCCCCTGCTCTCCGTCTCCTCTCCCCATGGCCCCCCCCTCTCCTCCCACCTGCCCTCCGTCTCTACCCCTGGCTCTCCCCTCTCTTCCCCCCTGCTCATCTCCTCTCCCCTCCCCTTGGCCCTCTCCTCTCCCCCTGTCCCTCCCCATCTCCTCCCCCTGCTCTCCCTGTCCTCTCCCCCTGTCCTCTCCCCCTGACTCTATAGATAAACCATGATATTGTTCCTCAGTTTACCAGATTACTCCTCTGTCCTCCTGTCAGATCACTTTGCCGTTGATTCACCAGATTCCTTGGGATCAAGCTGGAAGAGACTGAAAAATTCCTCCTCAAATAGGGAACGCTGCTGCAGGCTAGAGTTTACGACTACTGTACTGGACGTCTTTCACTTGATGACAAGCTTTACAACAGTAAATCTTATTTTAAATAAGGGCAAGTTCACTCACCACTTTCTTTGCAAACACAGTCACTTGTTCCAGGGATCTGTATGGCTTGAAGGCCCAAAATAGAAAGCAAGATTTACATCATTTTAAGGAGGTTAGTGAGTCTGATATAGATGGTGGGCTGGCAGCCATACATGACCAGACGTTATACAAGCCATGCGATTTCCCCTTAGATAGGCCAGCTACATAGTCAAAATTGGCTATATTGTAAACATTCATGAAAATAAAAATTTGCTTTTTGGGCTTAATGTAAGATTAGGGTTAGACATTAGGGTTAACAGTGTAGTTAAGGTTAGGGTTATGGTTAGGGTTAGTTTTAAAATCAGATGTTATTACTTTGTGGCTTTGCCAGCTAGTGACCACTCTGCAGAGTTGCCTCCAGAATAAGATTCATGACGAAAAATGCTAACCTGCTTACCCTCTGAAGTACTGACCTCCTCTCAAACTACAAATAAAAAAACACTCACCTCAGACCATTTCTGTTGAATCTCTGATCCATTCCTCCTGGTACTTTAAATGTTCAAATGGAATATGTTCCTCTGACTGTCAGTCTACCAGCATCGGACTAGAATACAGTATTACAGAATAGCTTGACTGTTGTAGTGTCACGATCGTCTTCAAAAGGAGCAGACCAATACGCAGCGTGTTGAGCGAACATGATGACTTTATTGATTAAAGTGCAAAAACCAAAACAATAAACGATTCGTGAAGTCCACAGTAACAATGACCGTAAAGGAACAAAAACCCACAAACACAAAGTGAAACACAGACAGTTAAGTATGGCTCCCAATCAGAGACAACCAGCACACAGCTGACACTCGTTGCCTCTGATTGGGAGTCACTCAGTTAAACATAGAACTAAACAACCTAGAACACCCAACATAGAAACAGAAAACATAGAAACAAACACACTCTGGCTCAATAACTAGAGTCCATTTAGCCCTTATTGCGACCGCGCCTCAATAAGGGCTAAACAAGGGAGGGCTGGGTGGGCATACCTCCTCGGCGGCGGTTCTGGCTCCGGCCTTGCCCACCACCCTCCAATCAACCCCCCATAGCGCCCCTGGTCCGGTCTGACCCCGCTGGCTGGATCTGGACTGGACATTGACGGAGCGGATTGCTTACGCTCCGTTGTGGAGCAGCTGACCGGTCTTACCAGGCTGACGACTCGCACCCCGGGCTTGGTGCGAGTAGCAGGAACGGGCTGAACCAGGCTGACGACTCGCACCCCTGGCTTGGTGCGAGTGGCAGGAACGGGCTGGACCAGGCTGACGACTCGCACCCCTGGCTTGGTGCGAGTGGCAGGAACGGGCTGGACCAGGCTGACGACGCACACCGTAGGCTTGGTGCGTGGAACAGGGACAGGCCGGGCTGGGCTGACGACGCACACCGTAGGCCTGGTGCGTGGAGCAGGGACAGGCCGGACAGGGCTGGCGACGCACACCGTAGGCTTGGTGCGTGGAGCAGGAACAGGCCGGGCAGGGCTGTCGACGCACACCGTAGGCTTGGTGCGTGGAGCAGGGACAGGCCGGACAGGGCTGGCGACGCACACCGTAGGCTTGGTGCGTGGAGCAGGCACAGGCCGGGCAGGGCTGTCGACGCACACCGTAGGCTTGGTGCGTGGAGCAGGAACAGGCCGGGCAGGGCTGTCGACGCACACCGTAGGCTTGCTGCGTGGAGCAGGGACAGGCCGGGCAGGGCTGGCGACGCACACCGTAGGTTTGGTGCGTGGAGCAGGAACAGGCCGGGCAGGGCTGGCGACGCACACCGTAGGCTTGGTGCGTGGAGCAGGGTCAGGCCGGACTGGGCTATGGAGACGGATAGGAGACCTGGAGTGAAGAGCTGCCACAACCCGTCCTGGCTGAATGCCTACCTTCACACACTCTGTGTGAGGCATCAGCACAGGACGTACAGGGCTGTGTACCCGTACTGGCATAACAGCACGTGATACTGGCGCAGGATATCCGGGACCGAGGAGAGGCACTGGAGGCCCCGAGCGCTGAGCCGGCACACTCCGTCCTGGCTGCATGCCCACCTTCGCACAACACGTGCGGGGTGCTCGCACAGGACGTACCGGACTATGCCGGATCACTCGTGGCACAGTGCGCAGCTCCGCATACCGCGGAACCTGCCCAGTCTCATGCTGCCATGCCTGAGTACGGGGATTTGGCTCTGCTCTCCATCCAGGCTCCGCCAACCTGCCTTCTGGCCCCCAAAACCCGGTGGCCTTCTCTCCTCTTCTCCTATTTCGCCCTGTGGCAGCCTCCTGCTGCCCAGTCGCCCATGCCGTGTGCCCCCCCCTAAAAATTTCTTGGGAGTGCCTCTCGTCCGTCCGACGATGGCACTGCTGACGCCGCTGCTCCTCTCCTGCCTGGGTCTCCCCCTTCATAGCCCTCCGGTACCGGACGGCCTCCTCCTCGGTAATCTGCCCCCAACCGAGGAGGACATCCACCAGAGTCACCTCCTGCGTGTGTTCCTGGACACGCTGCTTGGTCGTTGTATGGTGGGTTTTTCTGTCACGATCGTCGTTACAGGCAGCGGACCAAGGCGCAGCGTGTGATACAAACATGACTTTATTTTAATTAAAGTAAACAAACAAAACACGACTCGTGAAGTCCACAGTAACAATGACCGTAAAGGAACAAAAACCCACAAACACAAAGTGAAACACAGACAGTTAAGTATGGCTCCCAATCAGAGACAACCAGCACACAGCTGACACTCGTTGCCTCTGATTGGGAGTCACTCAGTTAAACATAGAACTAAACAACCTAGAACACCCAACATAGAAACAGAAAACATAGAAACAAACACACTCTGGCTCAATAACTAGAGTCCATTAG